ACTTACGTTTAGATCAAGCATTTCTGTTGATTAATTTAAGTATACTCTGAAGTGGATACACATCATTCTGCTCGTAGTAGTGGCATTTTAATTTCCTCAGCTTTCTTTTAAAAGTATTTTGGTCCCTATTAGCATTATAAGCCACACGGCCAATAACTGGAGCAGTGCAGTCAAGACAATATATCACATCGTGGTATAGATTGAAAAGCGCAATGTCAGCATTATTTGTGGTAAAATAAGTTTCCCATGGTAAACATTGAATGAGAGTCCCAGTCCGTTCCCATGTTTGTTGATCAAAATGTCTGCTTTAGAGTTCAATTGTATGGCGTTTAAAGAGCGAATAATACTCAATACAACTCTATGGTCACTCATAAAAAACTCATGACTGGTATGTACTGAGATAGAGTCTATGTTGATTGTGAATATTAAATCAAGTGTATTATTCCCCCTGGTTGGTTTTCGGACCTGTTGAACCCATCCACAAATTTCTAATGTTTCAACTAGCTTGTTATATCGACCCGGTACCTGAGTCAAGCCCCATGTAATTTTTGGCAGATTAAAATCACCACCGATGATTCTAAAAGTATGTGGTTGGTGCGAAGCAATGGAAAAGATGTTTGTTAGTAATTTGTCAAAATTAGTATGCGTATGAGGTGATCTGTATATATATCCCACCAGCAAATAATTTGGGGATCCACAGTTTACAGTCACCCAAGTGGAGTCGTATTTAGCATCAAGGGATTTATCCTCAAATTAGCACGCCTGAATGTCTGAACGGACATAGATAATTGAACCGCCTCCTAATCCATAACATCTATCGGTTCTAAAGAAAACGTAGTTATCAACATTCAAGGAATGATCGCATATAGATGAATTGCACCACGTTTCCGTAATAAGTACAATGGTTGGATATACAAGGAATAAAAGAGTTTTAAGATGAATAATTTTATTAGACAGAGAGCGGGCATTGAACGAAAGAATAAGGAACTCAGAGTTATCATAGTGAAGCAGGTTAGAGTATAAGTCGCAATTGGTAGTTCCATGAATACTCATACAATTAGCTAAGGTAAGAGTCGTGTTGCGAGGGGAAATAGATTCAACCACTTTGTCATCATGTGAAATATGTTTACCGTTGCCGGCAGGAAAGCCGGCGGAATTACAAAAAATGTTTTCTCATTGTTATTGGATATAACATCTTATAAGGGCATACAGTACATATTGGGAGCCGGACCAAGAAGGCTATCAGGTCTATGGTTGTGACCAAGTGACCAATTACAATTCAGATAACTATTTATACCTGACGTATGGGCAACGTGTTTAAGACGTTTATTTCCAAGGTTTGTGGTTGGTTTCGGCTCCTTCATAAGTTGGAGAGGATTGTGTACTGTTAAACATACTTGCGGTGGTTTGCGAGGTTCGAATATATCAACGTTAAGTGCGTGGTCAGTTATATGAATGTTATGATTAGTTTTCCTGTTACCCGTTGCACAGTTACTGTAACTGTGTGTTGCACTAACAGGGGTTTGGATTGTGTTATCCCATTCTCCATCAGCACAACTACTTCGGGTTGAATCTAAGTAAACATTCTTAAGAGGATGGACACCACCTACATCGGGATTACTTTCTTCTGGGTTTTGAACTTTATGAGATTCAGAAGAGTTTTTTCGGTGGCGGCAAAGTTGTTAAGCTAGACGTCCTCTTAGAATCAGACTTAACTTTACAACCATTAGGATTATGATGCGTTTGAGAGTTTGACGCTGATGGTCTGTTTTTCGCTGGCATGGTGTTTTATCCTTGAAAATCTGTTTTTGTCTCAATGAATTGGAGGAATTTAAAAACTCACTGGCGTCTACAGATGAGTTGAATTTGAACGAGATCGGTGAGTGCATACCAGGATGAATTCTTTTTAATCTTGTGCATACACATGGTACGTGTGTCATATTGCTGGCTCTAAGCAGACTAGATTTGATATTTTTAAGGGCATGTGTATCCGGTATATTAAACACAATTGCATTGCTAGATCGTCTTATTCTTTCAAATACCTCTGATGCAACACGATCTAGGAAAATGTTTATGTCATTCATTTGATCTGGAGTCTCTGTGAGGTTGGGGTTGATGAGATATTTCAGCGGATTGAGAATGTTCATGTCTACTTGCAACTTTTTATAGCATCCATATGGTTGCAGTTGTGAATATCATCACTGTTTACCAGCAGAGTTTTCAACATGTCTGGAATGAAGACAACTGGTAAAAGCTTGTCTGCTTCCGGATGAACGGAGTGGCTCGTCTCGTTGAAACCGTTGGAAATCGTGTCAGTAGTGGCGTTAAATTGTGTCGTTTTCCTACGTTTGGCTGGACGCCTAGGAGCTGGGGTCTTCATTTTCTTTTGTGGCATGATAAGAAAGTGACGTATAGCGAGTGGTTTGAACAGAATGTTGGAAATAGGGGTGAAAAAATCAATTCCGAGAGCTCAAGTTAGTCTAAAAATCAAAATCTATGTTTTAACCAAGAGTGAATGTATCGTGAGGATTAGTGGTGTTAAAATCAAAAGATGACAATGGCAGGAAGATAGTAGTGGAGATGAGGTATTTATGTCATTATCTGTGTGGAGGCAAAATAGAATATAAAGGAGCAAGTTGTATAAATTTTAACATATACGACACGAAAGATAGCCTTATATGGTAAAGTAATTTAGAAATGTCGTTAATTAGTATCAAACAATCAAAAAAGTACAGTAAGTGATACATATATAAACTGAAAGTCCGTATTAGTAAAAATTGGGAGGTGCAGAGATAAGTAGTTTAGAAGATTATTACCGTCTAAGATTATTATGTTGCTTCTTGAACAAATATATGAAACAGCTTATTGGAAAAAAACTATGACTGACGCACCGATTTGGACAGGTAATTTCGGAAATGAAATAATTTATAGTATCCAAATAGGATTTAAATGATAGTTCATGAAATAGTGAATACAGTCCTTTAAAATACACGGTTATATATATTTCTTGATATTAGGTAGTGGTTTGAATAGATCCTGTAGATACATAAAGTAGGTGGGTTAAAGCATTCAAATACGATATAACCATATATTCCTTAAGAAATAGAATACAGATATGAAATGCAAATCTTCGTCAAATATGATTTTATATACATTAAGCCAGTATTAGACCATTCTGTAGCCTGTGGTAAGATGACGGAAATATGTTGAGGCGTTTCAGTCTGTCTTTGTAAAACAAGTCAGAGTAACGTATTTGGATGCTCTTGCTTGAAAAGTACAATAATCAAAGAGAACTGGACTATGTAGTCGTACCTTGACTACTCCACAACAAATGACTCAACTTCAATGGGTATGAACATGGTCTGCTCCGCCTCTCTTCCTTTCTGTTTCTTACCCTCCTTTTCAGCCCCCTTGATATATGCCACCGAAAACACATGTGAAACGTGTTACTTCGTCCTGCGCCATCGTTAGTGCTCCAGCTGTTCCAGAAGGATATAAGATCGCAATTTCTAGAAGTTCTCGACTGTACGTGGATTTATTCTCGACCATCAGTTGCACGTCGCAACGCAACATCCACAAAGCGCGCCAATTGTCATATTTACGACACGAGTCTAATTAATATTATTTACATTCATATGTGAGAAGAATTATACCACTTTATAGTGAGACTTAGTTTTTGTTTAGTTTATGAAACAGAACAGTTGGGAGGTTATCTTTTTCAAACACACATAGTCTTTCGACATTCAACATAAAATAATAGGAAGTATAATCCCTACACAAAAGAAGGAAGTGAGTGAATACTTGTGCTGTAATGTTCTGACATTTCTAAGATATTTGGGCCCAACTATTAACCAACCGACCTAGGTTGTTCCAGGTCTTAGATCGTGGTTTACTATCATATTCAGATTCTCGTGAAACAGATCTAATGTTACCAACGTCAGACACTTGCAGTAGCAATTTATCTTCGCATCTTCGGTGTACACATAAACACACTTAGTTGCTTTGATAGACACCAACCACCTTTCAGACCAGCCTACCGGATAGTCTTTGTTGGCCTGGAGTGTACATACATCTGCGTACCTCGTTACTCCTTGCCAAATTTCAACATCATCAGCACAACACAGCACCAGGGACTTAACCATACTCGGGAGTTCCTTTAAACATGGTGTAAAAGGTAAATGATCTAGAACATAACCTATTGATACTCTACCAAGTACTGCATTCCAATGTGAGAGTTTGGCATTCATTTTTACTTCATGTTTACGACCTGCCGAAAACTCTCCTATCCAATTTAGATTTCTTCCGTCACATAATGTTCATTCAGTCTCAAACAGAAGATGCTTGGTATGAACCAAGATGTTTGAGTTCGAATGCATGCTGTAGTAAAGCATGTTCTAATACCGTCATCAGGAGCCTACTATGAAAAGAGTTTTCAGATCTTACGACGACCCTATCTGTCCAACTAATATCAGGAGCATTAAAATATCCTAATATCAGGCATCTGTTGTTTTTAATCTATTGCTCAACGTGCTCTGAGAAAAAGTCATCGGGTAAGCAGATTGAAATCTCTTTTCGAAACTACAAGCACTTTTATATAAGACTTCTAGAGAGAATGACATACCCACCCTAGTTTAGCTAGTTCCGTCTTTTTTATTCTGTCTGCCAGAGACATGTCGATCTTCCTCAATTGTCGATGTTTTTGTGAATCCGAGCCCTAATATACAAAAGACGTCGTTGTTCCTCTAACCCTAGGATTATCTTGAGGAGTCTATATGGTCGAAGTCCAACATTGTCGTTGGCCCCTATACACTCTACGAATCGTCACTACCAGTGGTATCCAGTTGTATTTCGCTTATGCTACATTTTTATATTTGTGAGTATTGAATTAGTGATGTAAGCAAAATAAAAGAGAGCTGCGATTGGTCGCCATAAACAACTCAGCCTTAGTTCCAAGGAAATTATTTTGACACGGTTGAAAGTCCCAGTTAAGCCTAAAGAGCGCGTTACATGGAGTGTGCGTAACTTGACACGTTTGCAAATGGCAAACGAGAAGGCGTTTAATGTTCAGTCTGCTTATTCAGATCTCAACAAGGCTTGTAGTGCTCAAGCGTACGATAAGATTATAAATATCTCTGGGAAAAGTGAGTTTTTGTTTAGCAATACCTTGCTTAGTCTTACTACAGAAATGTTTGCACTTCACTCTGGTTTTCATTATTCCAGAGAAAATTGTAGTGGTAGTGAATCTCCAACATTCTCACCCTAGAATACTTTTTAGCTGTCATTTTTTATTAGGTCAACTGTTTATCATTATTTAAGGGGTATTTTTGGAGTGGTAGTACTTAGATATAGATTCTCAGTGAACAAGTTCCGAGAATAAACTAACATTAGTTATTTCTGAAGATTTTCACTCTCTGAATGTTCAATTTCAAATTTTGACTGTGCGCTTGGAAGCATTCCACTGGACTTAATCATACCATTTGCTGTACACATGCAGTGAAATGATTTCTTGTACATGGGCTTCGATTGAGACCTTAGTATCAATATAACCCTAGTGGGATGTTTTGGATTCCACGTTAAGCATAAAATTTAGTCTACACTTCAATAATTAAGCACTTACGTGGTATTTTCCTTGTAGTTCTTACAAAGTATCCTGGTGAGACTAAAGCTTTCCTGTGCAAGGTTGTTGCCCTTATTCGAACCGAGAAATACGAAGATTGTTTGAGTTTCTTGAAAAGAAACCCAACACTATCTAGGTATGTAAAACTGTTCAGCACCGTTTCATTTATTTCAGTCATGTCATCTTTGAGAAAGCTTACGTTGAATATAGACTTAATCGTCTCACTGAAGCCGCAAAAACTCTTGAATCAGCCGAGGCAAACGATCCAAAAGCTCAGGAACTAAAAGCACAAGTGGTACGTATTCTTTTTTGCTTCAATCTTCACTTTCTCTAGTTGTACAGGAAAGGTGATTTTGCTGCTGCATACGCCTACCTACGGTCAGTGATTCGAAATTCTCAAGTTAGTAATACACCTAATTCGTTATTCTCTTCTAGGATGATTATAGTGAAGAACGGCTCGCGAATCTAACGGCGGTGGCTGCTGCTGAATCATGCTTTAATAACACTAATCTGGTAAGGATAGGTTTTTTATAATCGTTATTTTTTAAAGGACCTAGATGTTAACCCCCAAATGTATGAAGGAAAGTTTAATCTGGCATGTTATCATCTTGGACGTGGTGACTGTCATCTGGCATCCAGATTGTTAGATGATGCTGAAAGTATGATACTTAACTGTTTTTAACTAATGGCCATAGATACTTGTAATCTGTGTCTCTCTGAAGACCCGGAATTAACTGAAGAGGAGAAGAATGAAGAGTTAGCTCCTATAAGGTAAAAATATCAAGATAATCTTTTTACTTCTGTTTGAGGTCTTTCTTAAGATAGGTGAATCCACTTTGTTGCTTTATTTTATGAAATCCTGGGAAATGAGACTTTTCGGCTGAACTATATTTAGCAAAAAAGTTAGAAAAGTGAAACGAATTTTAAAATAAGACACTTCTTCAACGTCTTGTAGTACTAATGTGGAAAACCATATTTCGTCCTCAGTTTAGAAGCAGTGTTTGATCCCGTCAATTAGGTGGTGCTTCAAAGAGCATTCTTTGTTCAAATTGTCAGTATAGGTTAGTCAAATTTACTCCTGATTATTCAAATTCGAGGGTGTTGGGTGAATTATGTCTCACAAAGAGGATCATACCATATCCGACGAGGGAAAATCATCTATCTTAAGTGGAATTCCGCTCCTAGAGACGTTATCAGATATGGCTCAGAATAGAAGCCAGTGGCGATACTGCTGTAACCTTCTTCTACTTTCTTCATAAAAAGTGTTTGTGTCTCCTTTACCTGAAAGATTTCTTCTGATTATACCTTTTCGTTTCGTCGTTACTACCACACTACCTTACTCCAATATCTTCGTCATTGTTCTGCTTTTCTTTTGCGCTCCTTAGTTTTTTTCTACTTCTCTTCGAATTCTCATTGTTTTGTGTGGCGCATATATATTGGCGCTCTCTTGTACCAATATTCATGTGTTCAAATAATAAAATAGTCGGATTAAAATATAAGACCTCTTGTAGATGTGCTGCTATTCATGCTGCCACAATTCTCTCCGAAATTCCAAAAAATAAACAAGTGAAAAAGCTGAAGTGATAAGACTAGTGGAGTCCTAAAGTATGTAAAAAACGGATTCCTTGTGGGGATTAAACTAGGATGATGTTTATTAAAGGTTTAGAAAAATGGATGTATCTGCGCTACTGTGGTTGATTTTTACCCATATCACTTAAAGGTTGCAATCACAGTTATTAATCGTTATCCACTCCCAACATTAAATCACACTTCAGGATATGAAAGGCTAGACAACCCAACTTTACATATTGTAGACAGCATAATTTGATATTGTTACTCCATAGTTTTTTCGGATCGTAATGTTTAGTAAGAAATAATGACAGATGGTTTATCTACAAAATGTAATGGTTGTAAGAATTCATTACTTGAGATGATTTTCTCCATGAATATTCCTTTTTACAAATGTTTTGACGCTCCCAACTTAGTGTTATAACTTTTAGTTAATGATACTTATAAAACGTATATCCATTATTTTTATTCTTCAAGATCATAAGTAAGGCAGGATTAATCTTCAACGCACATTTTTATTTTCAGAGTTCAGCGAGCTTATATTTTGCAGATCAATAAGGAAGAAGAAGAAGCGAACCAGGTGTATCAATCAGTCATTCGACAAAGGTAATGTGTTTATTTTAAATTTGTTATTACTTCATGCCCTTTAAACTAAGGATGTTGTCAATCAAGAAATAATATTTCTAAAACATTTGTTGATGACGGGTTGCATAATTTATGTAATAAACGTACTAATTTTTATTGAGGAGTTTCGTACCTCTAAGAGCCAACCATTTTGATTTTGTCAACCCTACTTCATCATAAGAAATCTTGTTAATGATCTAGTTCACATCAACGATATGAAGTTATATTAATAATTGTTCCTTTGTGCGTAAACTCAGAATGTGCAGATTTTTGATGGGACTTACCTTATGGCAATGAATTGTGTACCACTAACCAGTCAGTCATCAGTGTGAAGCCTGCGACAAATGTGAGCTGACTTGAACTTCCATTCCACGTTAGCACTGTAGGATGGAATCAAAAAGATAAGTAGTCCAGGATCCGGAATAGTATAATCAGAAAGATAAAGTGTTTAGAATGTAGTTTGGGAAAATGGAATAAAATGATGTATATGAAAGAATACTGGAAATCAAGATCTATACTAAGATATTTAGTGAATACATCTCTATTGTTGACGATTGTGAGCCATTTAATCGAAAAATCTCCAAGCACTAGTCTCAGTTGTCTCGCAAACCTTAACTAGGTATATATCTGTTAACAAGGCCTTATAGCCAGTGACTTAATAAATTGATGCTATGTTCTGCTTCGACCATCCATGGCTTTTTTCAAATCGACCCCCACATCGGTCATCATCACCTGTCATACGTTATACATTTCCGAATCGCCTAAGACGATAGACATTCACAATCTCAAGTTTTACGTCCAAACTTGGTATTGCTCATTTGGTCGATACGCGGTAAATGCCCAGAAGACCTTTTTGATCAAAAACCTGCAAAGTAAGCATATCTCTCGTTTTCATAGACCATGTTTCACATCAGTAAAGTAATAGGGAGGATTGCTGTGCAGTATATTTACCCATTGGTTGGTGGATGGACATCTTGCCTACAGCACATATGATGCAAGCTGATAGAAGACAGTTGAGCTTCTTTAATCCTTGCTGAAACTCCATCGAACACCAACCAATCAGGGCTAATGAGACTTCCAAGATAAGTGAAGTGGTCGACACATCCAACTGCTTCACTCGCTATTATCAATTCAGACGTCGACTCAGATAAGTTTTTGAACAACATGTTGGATTTAAAAGGAGAGAAATACATCTGAAACATGCTTGTATTACTGAAGGTTATTAGAAGGATGCATTTTGTTATCGTCTTCACTAATCAAAACTATGCCGTCTACTTCCTCCTTATGGACTAGCGAACTTCCTATTAGGGTATCACTTCCTGAAAGGTTAGATGAATAAAGGATGATTTCTATGTGGGGCATCGATGACGCGATTAAATAAAAGGGGATAGTACAGAACCCTTAGGAAAACCACTTGAATTTGATAATTCTAATGACATCTAGCCGTAATCGGTGACTTGACCAATGATGTTTGGGTGGGAATAAAAATCAGATTAATTGTCTGACTTCAGTTTGATTGGATCACCATGATGTTAACGAAATGTATTCCGCTTTACCTCTAATATATCGATCGACTTAATTCTCGTTACTGAATAACGGAATAAAACTAGCCAAATAAGAGGATGGTTTTTGGTTAAATATTTTCATACTTCCGTTAATGCGGACAAATGGTAAGAGAAAAGCTTACCAGAGTAAGTAAACATCCCAAGTCGACTTAATGAAGCATGATCCAATATTTGTAGTTAGATAAAAATCAGATGTGCGACGAAGAGTACGTAATGAGTACACACGCATACACGATCATATAAGTTACTAGCGAATAACTAACAGGGTCCTATATATGTGTGGATAATGACTATAAAGAATCGGTTAATTGGTCTGTCCAAAAGCTATGTGGGTGGTTATTACTTTCCAGCTGACCACTCGTAGAGAGATACTCCTAAAGGTACTTGAAAATGAGACTAGACTAGTAGTAATTTTTTCAACCTGTGAGCATGACCGTATAACCCGAGGAATAACTTTCTTGTCCGCGTCATTTTAATTGACTAGTCCTACTACAACGTCAAGGTAGCAGCTGCGGTCGTGATTTGAGGATGCAAATTTGGGTTAATAAGTTTGAAAATGGGTTGTTTACTGTATGTTTAAAATTGTCATTTGTTTCATGATAATGATAAGTTCATGGTTCACGCATAATTACGGCTAAATGACGTATAATCTTACTTACTGTTTAGGAATTGATATAGTGCCTCACAACTTTGTTACGTATACTCTTGTACTGTAATTCCTTGTTACTCGAACTTTATATATGAGTTCCCGATATCTGAAAACACTAAGAGCAAACAACAACAGCACAAAACCTGAAAAAATGGTACATATTATTCAAAGTTGCTTAACAAATGATGTAGGACGTATATGCTTCACAAGCATTTAATAGATGTTGAGTTTTTCTAGGCACATGTTGACTTTTGATCTTCACTGGTTCATACTGCATCCATTTCAACTAGTAATTTTGAATACTTTATTATTTTGGTATACAATCATACCTCCGTCACGTATTTTCCCTTACTTTCTGTATATTTTGAACCAGAGCTTCAGATACTGCTCTTCTAGCAGTGGCTGCTAACAATATTGTCTGTATCAATCAAGATCAAAATATATTCGACAGCCGTAAACGTATTAAGATGGCTTCTACAGATGGTTTACAATTTAAGCTTTTTTCTCGCCAACGTACTGATATGCTTATCAACCAAGCTTTGTTTTACTGGTACACGAACCAAGTAAGTTTTCGGTTGAATAAGTACATTTGTAGACTTTTAAAACAACTCCGACGCGATTTTTCTTTCACATTTTCTGATTCGTCCAGAACCTTTGGCTTTTCTGGATGGTAAGCAATATTGCATATTTTAACTGTCTAGACTACGGAAAACATTGAGGACCAATGAAAAAATTTCGCATTTGTGGTTTGAATTTTCCGTCAAATATGATAGATAATTAAAAATAGTGATTCAGCCCGACCGAAGCTGCTAGCTTGACGCGGTGGTCGGGCTTGCCTATCGTGATGACCCAACCGAGCTATATTGGCTGGAACATATGTTCCTGTAGGTTCTACCATGCCACGCAGGTCGATTGGAGAACGGTAAGACTAAAAGCAGCAACTCAAGGTTTGAGAGCGAAGTCATACTGCTGACTGTAGAGGGGTGTGACAGCAGTAAGGTGTTTCCCTCGGACAACCAGCATCTGCAGCGATGCTGCCTTCCCACAAGGAGGGGTGGGGTTAGAAAAGGTCGACCCTAAAAACGTCACACCTCACCTTACCTCACGGATTTCCGTCTCCGGCGGTAATGCCCTTTAAAGAACGAAGCTAACACGTCAAAAACCTCCCACGAAAAGGCCGTGCGCGACCGGCCTCAAGCAGTTGCCCCCTGGGCTCTGTGGTCACGCTCCCAGGTCGTCAAGACCAACACTGATCCAATTTCCTTTTCAGGTTCCTCAAGAAATATCCTTCCACGGTGTGGGCAGCCGGGAAGTGACACCAACCCTCATACCCGTAAAAGCAAACGAGACCAAGTTGGTCACATTCAAATCCTTCCTACACCTCCTAATACCTCTCTTATCTCCATGACTTACCCCCCTCACGTCTCTTTATCATCTCGCACCGCTAGGGCAAACGATTCGAGTACGCGGAACGCCATTCCTGGTCTCCAGAAACCACGCTCTAAACTACACGTAGGAGCTTTTAACGTCCGAACACTGTGCCAAATAGGACAGCAGGCTTCCTTAGCTAAGACTTTAGAATCCCGCGCCATCGATGTGTGCTGCGTCTCCGAAACGCGCATACAGGATCCCAGTAGCGTCATTCATTTGACCTCACCATGCCAAAGAGCCGACTCGGTTCACACTTCGTGTATCTAGAAGCCCTGATTCTGCTTCCCGTGGCCTCGCTGGCGTAGGTATAGCATTGAGTCCTAGGGCAGAACTAGCTCTCTTAGAGTGGATCCCAGTAGACAGTCATTTGCGTGCTGTCCGACTGAACGGAACAGTAAGGATCCCAAAAGATAGGGACACTCGTCGTTGCCTCTTCGTCGTCTCTGCCTATCCTCCCATTGACTGCAGCGCAGATGATGTAAAAGATGAGTTTTACAGAAAGCTCTCCGACCTTCTCCGAAAAGCTAAGCGCTCGGATGTAGTAATAGTGGCCGGTGACTTTAATGCTCAAGTAGGTAAACTAAGCGATAGGGAAAGACACCTGGGTGGATCTTATGGTGTCGTGGCTCAAAGAACAGATAATGGCGACCGTCTGTTGCAGCTATGCTCAGATAACCGCCTGTTCCTTGCAAATACTAACTTTAAGCATAAGGAAAAACATCTTTTGACATGGCGACCCCCGAATTCGTCTCAAAGTTGAACCCAAATGGATCACATCGCTATCAGCCATCGATGGAGAGGCTCGATAGAAGACTGTCGCTCGTTCTGGAGCACATGCTTAGATTCAGATCATGCTCTAGTGCGAGCGCGCATTTGCTTGCGTCTTACTGGACGTAGGAAAGACGCTGCAAGGAAACCTCTTAGGGTCCTACTTAATGATAGTCAAGCTAAGAGTATATTTCAGGAACAACTAGGAAAACAGTTAGGCAGCCATGTATGTGATTCCCACCCCGAGGCAGCATGGAACGATATCCGAAAAGCTGTGGAAACAGCAGTGATATCTGCTAGCAAGGTGAACCGTAATGTTAGGGAGAAACACTGGATCTCAGCAGCATCTATCGCACTGATAGATGCTCGAAAACTCATTCCACCTGACTCTGAACATAATGAAGAGCGGAGTCAGCTTAAGCACAAGCTGAAAAGAAGTCTACGCGATGATCGTGAACAGTGGTGGGTAGCAAAAGCAAGAGAGATGGAAAATGCAGCGGCAATAGGTAATAGCAGACAATTGTTCAGACTTGTTAAGGAAACCGGTATTAGGAAACCGACTGTTAGCGAAACACTCTCAGAGAAAGATGGACATATTATACATTCTCAATCCAGGAGATTGGATCGATGGGCGGAACACTTTAGGGATCATTTCAACTGGCCTTCAGCCACATTTCGGTTTCCCACGATCTCCAGTCAACCTGAATGGCAAGTTGATGTAGGTCCTCCGTCTCTTTACGAAGTTGAAAAAGCCATAGGAAATCTGAAGCGAGACATAGCAGCAGCCCCTGACAGGTTTACTCCTGAGAATTTTAAGGATGGTGGTTCAGTATTAGCAGTGAGATTAACTGAGGTCTTAGGTAGAATTTGGAAATTGGACGTAATCCCATCTGATTGGTCTCAATCACTGATTGTGCCAGTCTATAAGAAAGGACAAAAGTCCTCTTGTGACAATCACAGAGAAGTCAGTTTGACTAATATAGTGTCTAAAATATTAGCTTCAATAATACTCCGACGCCTAATCAAAGCTCGTGAAGAACAGATTAGAGAAAACCAGGCCGGTTTTCGACCTGGACGTGGTTGTATAGATCAGATATTCACACTACGCCAGGTTCTAGAACACAGACACATTCAGACGCCCCACAATGGTAGTATTTCTCGACCTTAAGGCGGCATTCGACTCTGTTGATCGTGAGGTTCTATGGCAGTGTTTGTCACTGAAAGGAGTACCCAAGAAGTACATTAACCTTATAAAGGCTCTCTACTCGAATACAACTGGTAGAGTGAGAGCTTATGGCGAACTGTCATCAGAATTGATTACCTCAAGTGGTGTTCGTAAGGGCTGTTCACTCTCCCCATTCTTGTTCAACTTTGTGGTCGACGTACTTTTATAGATAACATTTTCCTCATCTAAATTTCCAGGAGTTGTACTTTTGCCTGGAGATTCACTTGTTGACTTAGAATATCGATGACATAGTTCTATTTGGTGAAGACGCTGACAAAATACAGAGTCTTCTGATCACTCTAAGCAACAATGCAAGCATGTTCGAGATGCGATTCTCTCCCTCGAAATGCGAAATGTTGCTTCAGGATTGGGTTGCATCGACACCTGAACTAATGATAGGGAGTGAAGTGGTTGAGCGTGTCGACCACTTCCCTTATCTTGGGAGTCCCGTCAGCCCTTGTGGTCTGGTGTGTGACGAAATCTCATCACGGATACAGAAGGCTCGACTAGCTTTTACCAACTTGCGTCATTTATGGCGTAGGCGATATCCGTCTATCAACCAAAGGACGTGTTTACTGTGCAGCAGTTCGTTCCGTCCTACTTTATGGCAGTGAAACATGGCCGGTAAGAGTAGAGGATATCCGTAGGTTACTAGTATTCGATCATAGGTGTCTTCTAAATATTGTTCGTATATCCTGGGACCATCGAGTAAGTAATGTAGTTGTTAGGAAACGGGTACTAGGTAAGGATGGCAAATCAATTGATGAAGTAGTGAAACTTCATCAGTTGAGATGGCTGGGACACGTATTACGTATGCCCAACGACCGACTGCCTCGACGTACTATGTTCAGTGGTATAGGAGTAGGTTGGAAGAAAGTTAGGGGCGGTCAAACCAAAACATGGCACAAATCCATGAAGTCACTGACAAGTGAACTGAGTCATGTTGGTAGGTGTAGACTACCTGGTTGGGGACCGCGAGATGACAGCAACCGATGGTTAGAGACCTCGAATGATATGGCTCAAAATTGTCTGCAATGGCGCAAGTGCATCCACTCTTTGTGTTCTCCCAAATTCTAATCTTCTGAATTCTTCATGTCCCTTTCTCTTTTCTCTTTCCAAATTTATTTCACTGGATTATACTCCTTGAATAACATCATCAAACCCTGATCTTTCCAATGACGGCTTAAACTTTTACTACCTCTACCACTATGGGATTTGAATAGACAATCGTGTCTCTGTGCTAATATGGTATGGTAACTTGAACTGATGTACGTACGTACGATGTTCTACTTTCTTACCGACTGATTGATTCAGCCTTCTGGGAAGAAACTAAGTAGAGCATGAGTTCATTTACTTTCGAAATCCCGTATTATTTCGTAGTTACTATATTGACTTAGTGATTCTCAATTCCTATTACGGTAAACTAGTTTATTTATTTTAGCTAAATATTTGATACCCAGAATTTATGATAAATCTGTGAAACCCTAATCTGCTAATGTGGTGATGGTAGACTATGCAATAAATGTAATTATAAGGGCGTCTGCCGACTGTTTTTTGTCCCAGGTTGCAGTACCAACAAAGTGTTTGTGATATGTGACCACTATTTTTTTTTTATAGAAATTTTACCCCATACTCAAAGGAAGTTGTGCTATTAAATCTGTTTGCAGAAATATATCTGTTGAGTTCATGCATTTATGTAATACAAATGTAGTCGTGCAACCTGTTTTAAAATTAGCTGCCAGTGGTTTTTATTTATAGTGTTTTCCACTGTCTTCTATTACAAAAGTTGAATAATCACTGGCAGATTTTCATTAAAAAACAGCCTGTCTCAAAAACTCAAGTGTTAGTGTTATTATTCCCCCCCATATACCCTGGTACAACTAAGGGTGGGTAGAGTCCGTTCTCCCTCTCGAAATGTTCTCACATGGCCACGCGTATACAGCTACTGTCAGGGAAGTCCTACTCACTGCTTTCTTGTGGCGGGGGTGTTGTTTACGGAATCGAGAGGGTGGAAAATAACTAGGTTGGTGGATATGGAGGATCCATCTAGGTGAGTTGGAAAACTCTGATTCCAAACCAACGGTGTCCATGGGCTCTAGGATCCTAAGGGAACAAATGGCATATGAGCCTATTGTTGGTCACCGGCTACCATGGGACTGAATCTCCTGACGTTTCTCCACTGCTTTGTGGATCACACCTTTAGGTCAAAGGCTCCGGGTGTGACCCCATAAGAAAACCATCTGCTTCGATCTGTGTACCCGGGTATAATGACAGCCTCCACACAAATCAGGCGACTTGTATAGCGCATATGTATCTGGTGCCCCTTCGTGCCAATATTTATGTGTACAAATAAATAAATAATAGGTAAGTTATTTGGGCTAATTTAAATTCTATAACTCAGACACCAGATGCATAATCATATACTGAAGTTTAAGCAAAACTTCATATTAAGGCTAGTGGTAGTACCTTGGGACCTAAATCGAAGTATTTGCAGTAGGGTTCGAACAAAAACCCCGTCGTTTCATTGTTGAATGTTTAACCACCTAACTCTCTCTTCAATTCGTATTATTCCTCTTATGTCGACTTTCAACTCTCAACTTGCTCTTTTGACTTCCTTCTTAAGTGTCACCATGGCTAACGATTCTAGTACGCAAAGCACTGTCCCAGGTCTACTGAAAACTCGCTCCAAACTACACATTGGAGTCTTCAACCTACGCACCCTATGCCAATCGGCCAGCAGGCCTCCTTGGCTAAAACCCTAGAATCTCGAACGATTGATGTATGCTGTGTCTATAAAACACGCATACAGGATTCACTTGACCTCACCTCGGCAAAACGAAGAGCCGACGAGATACACCCTCCGTGTATCTGACGACCCAATGACTGGTCCTCGTGGACTGGCAGGTGTAGGTATAGCACTAAGTTTGGGGGTAAAACAAGCACTATTAGAATGGATCCCGGTTAACAGTCGCCTATGTACTGTTCGGCTAAACGGCACTGTAACAACTCGGAAGGATAGGGACACACGTCGTTGCCTTTTTGTCGTTTCTGCCTACGCTCCCATGGACTGCAGCCTAGATGAAGTGAAAGATGACTTGTACAGAAAGCTTTCGAAACTTCTTCATAAAGTTAAACACTCAGATAGGTAGCTTAAACCGAGCAGTAGGACATTTCAATCAGTCAGTCGGTAAGAAAGTAGAACATCGTACGTACGTACATCAGTTCAAGTTACCATACCATATTAGTACAGAGACACGATTGTCTATTCAAATCCCATAGTGGTAGAGGTAGTAAAAGTTTAAGCCGTCATTGGAAAGATCAGGGTTTGATGATGTTATTCAAGGAGTATAATTCAGTGAAATAAATTTGGAAAGAGAAAAGAGAAAGGGACATGAAGAATTCAGAAGATTAGAATTTGGGAGAACACAAAGAGTGGATGCACTTGCGCCATTGCAGACAATTTTGAGCCATATCATTCGAGGTCTCTAACCATCGGTTGCTATCATCACGATAGGCAAGCCCGATTACCACGTCAAGGTAGCAGCTACGGTTGAGAGAAGGACATTTATGTATGTATTTTTGTGTTCCGGCTCAACGAACAGATAATGGTGATCGTCTGCTGCAACTGTTCTCAGACAATCGTTCATTGTTAGCAAACACACATTTTAAGCATAAGGAGAGACATCGTCTAACTTGGCGTCCGCCTTCACCAAACCAACGATGGTCTCAAATAGACCATATTGCCATCAGTCATCGTTGGAGAGGGTCGGTAGAAGATTGTTGCTCATTCTGGAGTACCTGCTTGGACTCCGACCACGCCCTAATACGGGCACGCATCTGCTTGCGCCTCACTGGACGCAAAAAAGCCACAATAAAAAGACCCATTAGAACTGAATTGAGTAACGAGAAAACCAAAAGTAGGTAGGTTCCAGGAACAACTGAGGTCACACTTAGGTAGTTCTGAAAACGAGGCTGATCCCGATGTTGCTTGGAAAGATATACGAACAGCTGTGGAAACAGTAGTGACATCTGTTACTGATTTAAACCAAGAGGTTACAAAAAACCAATGGATTTCTTCAATGTATATTGAACTGATGGATTCTTGTAAACCCATCCCATCAGGTTCTGAACACGATGAAGAGCGACAACAAATCAAATCTAGGTTAAGCAAAAGTCTAAGAAACGACCGTGAGCAGTGGTGGGCAACGAAAGCGAAAGAAATGGAAAAGGCGGCGACTATAGGGAACACAAGACAGCTCTACAGACTAATAAAAGAAACTAGAATTAAGAAGTCAAATGTGAGACAATCTCGGAAAAAGACTACAACAACTTTTATCCCAGACGTTTAGAACGATGGGTGGAACACTTTGAGGAGCAGTTCATCTGGCATTCAGCTACTCTACAACTACTCACCATTCCAAAACAGCCTGAACAGGACATTGAAGTAGGTCCCCTGACTCTAATTGAAGTTAAAAAAGCTATAGCTAATCTGAATTGACGAAGAGCAACTGCCCAGATGGTTTGGCTCTAGATATCTGTAAGTATGATGGTCTTGTTTTAGCGATTAGGTTGACTAATTTTTTAGCTAAAATCTGGGAGTTGGACGTAATCCCATCTGACTGATCACAATCACTAATTGTTTCAATACATAAGAAATGGTCAAAATCATCCTGTGACAACCATAGAGGGATTAGTTTGACTAATATAACATCTAAAATACTAGCCTCAATAATTATTGATCGCCTAAGACACGTGGACTGCAAACACGAGGAAATCAATCTGGCTTCAGACCTGGTCGTGGCTGCGTCGACCACATATTCACCATTCGTCAGGTTCTAGAACACAGGCATGCTTATCGGCGTCCGACAATGGTGGTCTTTCTTGACTTTAAAGCAGCATTTAACTCTGTAGGCCGAGAGGTTTTGTGCCAGTGTCTGTCATTGAAAAGCGTACCTCAGAAGTACATAAACCTTGTGAAGGCTCTTTACTCGAACACTACGAGTCGAGTCAGAGCTTATGGCGAACTGTTGTCTGGTTTTGCAACCTCAAGTGGTGTCCGTCCAGCCTGTACACTTCCTCCATTTCTGTTTAACTTCATCATCTCCGAATGTCGTCCCAGAGAATTCCACGTCGTGCATTATTTGCCGACTCTGGGACTGGTTGGAAGAAGCGGAGAGGTGGTCAGTGCATGACATGGTGCCTTGGCATGAAAGAAAGCTGCAAAGAACTGGCTTGTATTGGTCCTTCACGACTCCCTGGCTGGGGTCCGAGAGATGGTGCAACACAGTGGCTAGAGACGTTATCAGATATGGCTCAGAATAGAAGCCAGTGGCGATCCTGCTGTAACCTTCTTTTACTTTCTTCATAAAAAGTGGTTCTGTCTCCCTTACCGGAAAGATTTCTTCCCTGATTACTAGCACATTACCTTACACCAATCTCTTCGTTATTGTTCTCTCTTTTTTTGTTGCGCTCCTTAGCTTTTTTTTCTTTCTTTGTATTCCTCTCGAATTTTCATTGTTTTGTGTGGCGCATATATATTGGCGCTCTCCTGTACCAATATTCATGTGTCCAAATATATAATAAATCATCATAGACCTACTGATGGAAATAACATTCTCGTCGACTGAATTCTCGGGTATTGATCTCCTACCAGGAGGTCCACTCATCGACTTAGAATACGCAGATGATATAGTCCTGTTTGGTGAAGACGCTGATAAAATGCAGAGTGTTTTGGTAGTACTGAGCAACAATGCCAGAATGTTTGGAATGCGCTTCTCTCCCTCTAAATGCAAGTTGTTGCTTCAGGACTGGTCTGCATCAACACCTGAACTAAGGATAGTAGGGAGTGAAGTAGTCGAACGCGTTGACAACTTCACTTATCTTGGGAGTCTGATCAGCCCTAGTGGGCTGGTATCGAACGAAATCTCAGCACGGATTCGAAAAACTCGTTTGGCTTTTGCCAACTTACGTCACCTTTGGCGAAGGCGAGATATCCGTCTATCAATAAAAGTACGAGTATATTGCACGGTAGTTCTTTCTGTTCTACTTTACGGCAGCGAAACGTGGCCATTAGGAGTAGAAGATATTCGTAAGCTACTAGTATTTGACCACAGACTGACAGATGTCTTCATGTTTAAGATTTGTTTTGAATTGTGGGCTTATTGATTTCACTAGCTTAAGGATTATTTTACTTTAACTTGTTATCTTCGAAGAATATTAGCTCTTAATTCTCTTCAAAAATTGTGTTTCGTCTAACAATACTCACTTTAGATCGCACTATTTTTGGTGTATTAATTTACACACATTATGCATTTAGCACTTATTCTTTCAGTGTTAACGTATTTTAAAAATCTAATCTTTTATGTAATTTCATTAAGCAAACTTCCGAAATATTTTATTGAATTTTTATACAGATGGAAGCTTGTACCGCAAAGCTACGTACAGTTTTACAAGAGGAGTTAAGTCCAAGAGCTTTGCTTTTATCGGCTGCTCAGTTAATTAAAGAGAAAAATATTGATAAAGCAGTTTTACTCTTGGAAGTAAGTCGTTGTATGAATGCCATGTTACTCTTCGTAAAGATTTCTTGTTTCGTTCCATAAATCTAAAGTTCCACCCACCATTTCATTAGTATCCTGTTGCTTTTTATCGATTTTTGGCAAACCTTTTTTCACAGTAAATGTTTCTGGATGTTTTGGAAATAAATGATTTAACTACAAACGCATCAAATACTTACTTCATGTATAGTGTAATGAAAATCGTAACTAAAGCGAATTTATACTGACCGTCTATACGAAATATTTTTTTTATACGTAACGACTTAAATAAAAATCGAACTTTAGTCTGTTACATTAACATTTTTGGGTTCTAGTTGATTGGATAAATAAGTGATCCTGAAACATTCCATTACTTGGCATATCCTAGTTTTCCTTTAATCACATGTTACTTATATTACACTGTCATCAGCACTTTCAAGTCTTCACTGAATAAGAATAAACTACAGTTTTCTGATGAAAGCAAATGATGAAATCGATTTCGGTTCACTATTCAATTCCAATCAAACAGATAAAGTTTGAAATCTTTAATATGCAGATCCCCTTTTCAAGTTTAATTATGACATATATTTTTTAGGCTTCACATATTATTGGAGTACTGTGGAAATTAGCACATAAAAGAGGTACTTCTGGTGGTTTTTACTGTGAATTATTATTATTTTGTTAAAGTGTAGTGGCAAACACAAAGATTAGCTTTCACTTGAGTATCTGTTAAGAACATGTGCCAATGTACACTTATTAAAGAAATACATGAATACTGATACAAATCGGCATTACAAAATAAATATACTCCACTCAAAGAAGAAAGCGATATTGAGAAAAGAGGAGGCGTACAATCTCAAAAAATAAACGACAGTTCAAAGATTAATTCCCTGAGGCCTACTGCGAATAATGCCATTGCATCAATTGTCTAAGTCTAGGGGTCGAATTACTGAGTGAAGAGTGAAAACTATCAATTTGATTGATCTACTGAATATGTGTATTCGATGTAACGACTAATGATGATGCAATGAGAAGTATAGTTGCCGAGTTATTTGGTGTTGATTTGGTTGTCAGTCAGTGGGAGTGCTATTTTACAGATCTTTATGGGTTTCCGTACGTGTTTTAAGATTTCAAATGAGCTGTTTGAAAAAAATATTTTGGTCGATTTCTGGTCAAATTTTAGGGTAAAGAAAGATTTCTAGGCAATAAAATTATTTAGCATCTATTCTTAGTAACCTAGACACAATAAGTTCTTTAATTTAAAATTAACATCAAACTAGACATCATCTGTGCTAATACTGATTTCCAACATGTTTTCACCTAATTCCTGTCGCTTTACCTTTAGAGTTATTTGTCCAATGTTACTGGTAATCAGGTAGATGCAGAAATCCCTTTAGCTTTGGCTCAAATAAATCTTCGCCGAATATCTGCAAATCATTTGGGAACCGGTAGTCCGCAACCTAAAAATGCATTAAATGTAGCCCAAATGCTTGAAAACATTCTTCCCCAGCACTTAATTCATTCTCCCGGTGTTTTGTCAACACGGATCGCTTTATATCTTATAGCGAGCTCTGGTGAAAATGCTGTACAAACACGTCCCGATAGCATGAAACAAATAGTCAATTGTATTGAATCAACCCTTCATTATTATGAAGAGTTAGGAGAACAGGTAATTCTCTTCCCTATATATAATGAATTGAAGATAATTTCCGAATCAACTTGTTGATGTTTTCCAGTCCGAACTTTGATACTTGTATCTTCTACTCTTGGTATTCATGTGAAAAACAAAAATGGGTGAAACTTGAATATTAGAAAGTTTATTACTAAATGTATTCGTGATTTGTCATTCTTCGTCTTTTATGATTTGATTGTTGTATCTCATATGATTTTGTACATCATTTATTGAGTTCATGACAGTCTAAATGCAGCTCGAGAAGTTTTATTATCATAGGTGAAAAGATGGATTTGACTGATATTGTTTAAACTATTGGTTTCTATTCTCAGGACTTAAACTTCATATAAATATCGTTACAACTCTGAATGAATATGTAATGTAGAGTCTCTAATTATTGTTCTAAGGCCTTTAAAACCCAACATTCGCACCCCTTTGAGTACTTTGTCAAATATCGTAAAGCGTCATTGGAACTGAACTATTTATTTTTGTTATCATCAGTAAGACTAACATTTGAATTTAATTTTAACTTGTATTAAATTTTCCATTTGTTGGACTTCTTTGATGGATACTTTTATGCGACTTAAACTATGGTTTTCTGGATGGATGTCTTCAGAATGAAACTTATTCCCATTTGTTGGATAATTGTGCTGGATTTCTTCTGCAACAAGGTGAGGCAAAACTTGCGGCTGAAATTCTTGAAAAACAGTTAGCCCGACTTGAATCAAACGTTTCTCAAGAAAAACAAAATAGTTTAATCAAACAAGTACTGGTAGCTCGTTTGGTACGTGCCTACGCACAGTTTGATCGTCCTAAAGCCGAACAAACCTGTAAATCATTACAAGCTAAAGAATCCCTCTCAGAGGCTGATGTAGATACTTTGGAAACTACATTTTTATATGGAGCGAAGTCTTTAAAACGGCTTGGCAAACCCAGTGAGCCAACGGATATTTCAGACAAGGGCAAGTCAAAACGAAACCAAATAAAAAAAAACATTTCTAAGTAAGTGTTTGAACTTATATATTCATTTAAAAACTTAATTATCCAAAATCTTGGCATACTCAAGGCAGTTGATTGCTTTATAACCAATTAATGCTAATTGACGCATAACCAATATTGGGTAGTGTAGTGTACCAGAGTTATTCTTGAGAATTTTTACTTGTAAGTAATTGTGGATTTTAGAGAATCTTCATAAAATATTCTTAGTGTTGTTACCTTGAAATTTCTTCCGAACAATAAATTCAATCAAAGGACAAACAGTCAGCTCGTGAGAATCGGTCATTGGTACATTTTGGAGCTAACAAGCAAATTGAAAAGAAATAACTGTCTCAACTTATTTTATCGAGTCTTCTCTTGAGCTGATAATGAAGTCGTTCAGAGAGACCGTCTGTGGTCCTCGTTGAAAGGAAATTAAAATGTAAAAACCTATCTAATTACCAAGTTGAAAAAATGTAAGATATTTTTTGTATTTCACCAGTAATTATATATCGATGCCTAATCCAATGGAAAAATGAATTGCTGTGAAGTTCTAAATTTCTCTACTATTTTGCAACTTTGCTATTTGTTTCTTATTTCCTCATCCACGGAGTTTTATTGTAAAGTTTGTTTCCTAATTACAATCCTCATTTCAGTTTCAGGACCAGTTGTTTATTATCACACTCAACATTTAGGACGGTTATATTTCAACTTGTTTCATCTATATTACTGTCTGTTAGTATTATTAACACTCTGAAATACGGATTACATTCAGAAATGAAACATAATTGTACGTGGGAAAAAATCGAATTGCCCCGTAAATTTACATCAAACAATAATATTGAAAATAAGCTCCAAAATATACAGTGTAGTACTCAAAAGCTAATAAATTAGCAACTTATTAGTGTTGTGTAATCTGTTATAAAAGTCCTTGAGTTATATTTTATATGGATAAATTTTTCGTGGGTTGCTAAAATGAACTAAATCTGTTGAATAATTAATCCAGTCAATGCTCTATTAGTTAGTTCAAAAGTGACTGATACTAGAAATATATAACTTGTCAGTAGAAAAACTGAGTAGGCATTCTTTATTGACCTAGTACTTAATTTATTGCTCAACCTTATTTTACAGTAAACTGAGATTGAATATTCTAAACAACTTCGATATACTGAAGATTAAGGTCATGAAGTTTTGAATGGTTGATCAGAAATTTTTAAAGTCACCAAACATTGTATTCTTTGCTTTTGTGTATATTAATTGTGTACTACTGTAATTCTACTTTTTAAAAATTTTATTTATCAGTACTCCTTCCTCAGATCCTGGTGTGCAGCAGGTTACTTCACGTTCTAAGCGTAAAAAGAAGAAGATTCGCCTGCCAAAGAATTATCAGCCAGGAGTTATGCCTGATCCTAATCGTTGGTTACCCCGACGAGAACGTACTCACTATCGTGGCAAACGTCGTGACAAGCGATTTGCTCCTACACGCGGTCCTCAGGGTCAAATAACTGGAGAAAGTGAATGGTAGGTGCTGTTTTCGTCATATTTAGTTTTCGCGCTCGTTACTTCTCACTTATTAACGCGCTATTTTTAACTATTAAAATATTGGTACTAATTCATGTGTATACGTAACCATGTAGGCAACGAATTCTACCAAAACAGTCAAATCTTCTGATATCTTGGAATTGACCATTTTAGTGTATACTTTTATGAGCACAATAATTGTTAAATGCCGGCCCAGAGATTTGGATGTTAAGCCTTCGCGCTCGAGATCGAAGTTCTGGTTTCGGTTTCTGCGTGCGGGGGGTGATGCTCATTGCTGAGTAATATACTAGGACTAAACGGCCGTCCAGTGATTCCAAGTTTTCAACGGTGGTCTAACATTGATCTGTTCATGATTTCAGTGAGGCTCAACAATTTCTACAACCCTATACTGACAATTAAGTCAGATTGCGAAACGTTATCTAGCTACTATCTTGGGTAATATGAAGACGACAGAAGTTACTCTTGTTGGTGAAAAAGTCCCACAAGTTATTTACTAAGATTTTAATCAGTGATGTTCCTGCGAAACATTGAATACTATTACTAGGCTAGGAGGAGCCTGTCCCTCAACCCCGGGGTGAATCGCTGGTGTTTGTTTAGCACACAGTGTCAATTGAGATTTAGATGGTAGTTGGAGGTAGTCAACAGGAAACCCTGGACCCAGGTTTCGTGCTATTTAGCACTCGTCAGCAAAGTGTACCTGCAATCTTGAGGGAACTGGTGCTCCCTGGCGGATTCGATCTCGTGTCACCCAGCTTCACAGTCAGAGACGTTACCACTGAGCTATCCGATAGCATTCGATCTGCACTAATAAGGACTAGACAAGCATGACATTGATCACCACCCAGTGATCAATCAATTGTGATTACATCTCAGTCCTACAGGAGGTTAGTCACGGCTCGGATAGCTCAGTGGTAACGCCTCTGACTGTGAAGCTGGGTGACACGAGATCGAATCCGCCAGGGAGCACCAGTTCCCTCAAGATTGCAGGTACACTTTGCTGACGAGTGCCAAATAGCACGAAACCCGGGTCCAGGGTTTCCTGTTGACCACCTCCAACTACCATCTAAATCTCAATACATAGTGCCCGCAGTGTCGAGTCACCTAGACTGGTGGCCACATTGTAACATGATCGATAGCATTCGATCTGCACTAATAAGGACTAGACAAGCATGACATTGGTCACCACCCAGTGATCAATCAATTGTGACACAGTGTCAATCTACGTATAGTGGAAGCCAAAGCAGCTTATCCCCATTCGGGTCAACTTTGGAGACATCTTTACGTTATATTAACCGTAAAAGGTTCGGTTTACGTGTCAATTAGAGTAGTTCTGCTCTTTTTCCATGTAACCTGACCTCTCAAAGCTGATGTGTAGTGTCTCTATGTTGCATTATTGATGATATCCAGTGGCAACATAGTCTTAGTCATGTAATACCTGACAATGGGTATTTTGGACATGGGTGATAATTCAAATGGTGTCATCGTCGTGGGACATCAACTTCAGTAACTGGTTCGTGTTCTACGAGCTCCATTTCACTGACTTCTACATCGAACATCGTTTGTTGAATCTGACAGTTAGTGGAAAAAGCGATGTGATGGTCAATTTATGAAATGGCGCTGTGGCAAGGAGATAAGACTGTGATTTGTCGGTCTTTAGAGAATTTGGAACTCAATAGTTTAAGATGTTATTAGATATGGCTCAAAATGGAAGTCCGTAGTAATTCAATCCTGATTTTCTTTCACACTACAAAGTGAAATCAACTTATTGGGCTAAGATAAGTCTTTCTCGACTATGTTGCTAAGTAAACCATAACTCTCATTAAATGCGACTCTTGTTTATTTATTTGTTGATTTTAGTAGGATTCGTTTACTTAAACAACAAACTATGTGTATTGTTTTTTATTCACCTTAGGAGTTTTGAATTTAGAATTATTTATAAATGCACATAGAATAACCAAACACATAATAATTTTATCATAAACTATTCAATTGTAGATTCATCTATACATAAATTTAAATTTAGAAAAAAATTTCATTTTAGGGATGCTGCTATACGTAGTCCTAAAGTCAAAGTTCATGAAGACGGTTCAGCAGGATCTACTCCTAAACAAATGTCTAATACAACTAAACAGCAACAAAAGAAAGGTCGTAAGAAAGGCCGATAATATTACCAAGACTAAATAAAACAACAGAATATCTAATTAATCTGTAATTTTTTGATCGTGTAATATATATAATGTATTGTGCATCTATGTACATGTTATTTGTACTGTAATATTTCTTTTTGGTTCAAATTCTGGTAACATTTGTATGTATACCTAGTGAAATATATTTGTTTTTATTAGATAATTCCGTTTGACAGTATATTCTTAATAATTAAAGCATCATTTTCATGGGTTACAACCTTTAATTTCTTATCATTTATTTAATATTCATTATAAGTGTAGTGGTTGTTAGTCTTTTTCATTATACTTGTTCTTGGAAGGTTATTTCTTTTGTTTCTTCTTCATTGTATCACTACATATTTATTTGGTCCTTATGAATTATATTTTTATTTGGTATTCATGAGTAAGAATTAACGGTGTTACCACTTCCTAATATTGTTAAATATGTGTTTCTTTTATTTAAAATTATGGTTTACCTCTAAAATAATGTAGTGAAGAAAAAAAGTATTTATGTGTACATCTACGTTAGAGCGTAAACACAGTGATATTATCTTGTTAGAATAATGGTATACGAGAAATGTGACTATATTTTAAGTAATCAAAAATAAATACTGATTGTCTGGGAATTATTATCTTTGATTAATATTATCTAAGGTAAATAATGTGATTGATTTGAAGTATACTCTTAGAAAAAATGTATTTATTTTTAATTAGGAAAGTGTGACTGATAAATGGAATAGCAATGCTGACTAGCGTTGGGGACTGTTGGAAGAAAGTTAGGGGCGGTCAAACCAAAACGTGGCATCAGTCCTTGAAGTCATTAACTTTTAGTCTGGGCCATGTTGGTAGATACAGACTACTTGGTTGGGGTCCACACGACTATCGTAACCAATGGTTGGAGACTCTTGGTGACGGCTCAGAATCTATCACAAAGGAGTCAGTGTATACACTCTTTGTCTTCCCTTAAACTAAGAGATTAAATTCACTTCATATCTTTCTTTCTATGAACTAATTCTTTCTTCCTGAACTATATCCTTATTGCAATCTTTCTTTTATATATTACCACCTCTGAATTAACTAATTCTATGAATCCGGTGTTCATCTTGTTATGCTAATGAGGTATGGCAACTTAAACCTATGTGCCTAGTCCTACGTTGTAGCTGACTGATAATAGCACTAGTGTAAAATAAACTAAGGCAGAAAAGTCTGATCTATTAATAATGGGTAAGGGGATTAAGAAATATTCATGAATTATTAATAATGGATACGGTTGTTTTAAGGTAAATATATTTAGCGTATTTGCAATGTAAACATTACAAAGGATGCTGCTTTACTTAAAAGTATCTCATTACCTGAATTCATTGTGAAGTGCTTTTATCTAAACAATTATTAGTATTCATTATGTAGTTCCTTATAGGTAGCCTATTAAATAGTTATTAAATCTATAATAATTATATCCAAGAGCTCATAATTCAATTACTAAGGTTATATAACAATCATTTGTATATCACTAGACTACAAAACTAATCGAAAGTGCAGATTTCTTTGTATATACAAAAAGAAGCTTTGGGTCCTACGATACGATTAAATCGCATACATTAACTTGTTCAGAATTTGATAAATCTGACGTATTCATTTTTTTAATTAGTTCCAAAAGATAGAAAGGTTTGATGACTGTACATTTAAACTACCAAACCGCAAAAAAAACAAAAATAGAATTATAGTACATAAGCAGCTAGTGCATTTTTAAAGCTGAGTAATTAATTCATTAGTTAACTATCCGTAGTAAGAGATCGAGCAACAATTATTTAGTTTAAAGATAAGGGTGAGAACATGTCTTGAGAGGAAAACGTTTATTCAAATCGATGATAATATGTGGGACTGGGTTGGACGGAGTTGAATGGTGCGGGTCAACAATAAAAGTATAGTTCAATATGTACCTTATACGTGTATTCGTCTGAGGACATAAAAGCTATTGAAATGTCTAAGCAGTGTGAATATAATCTGTTCATTCAAAGTCTATTAGTCCACACATCAAATATAGACACAAGTTATCTCAGAAAGCTTCATAATTTCCTATTTTATCTTCTTAATAGCTGTGGATAGGAATTCCAAATTGTTGAATTTCTTTCGGTTGGCCACTGTTTTAGTAGTAAAATGAATCAAAATACATGTTCACTTTTATCTTTAGACTTCACGATACATTTGGTTTACGCACAAATTAATTGGTTACATTTGTGTGTATGTTGTCTAATCTCGTGTAAGTGGAATAATATTGCTAAGATATACATAACAATATCTCTCAAACCAGTCAGTTGCAACTTAGAACCCGGTAGTTATGTACATTGATTCAAGTTATCATGCCCCATTAACACAGAGAAATAAAATTGTCAGGGTAAATCCCAATATCATAAAGATGGTAATAGTAAAGATCAGGCATCGAAGATAATCCAAGAAAATATAAATTAGTAAAATAGAAACGAAAACGCGTGAGGAATTCAGAATCTTAGAATTTGGGGGTAGGCAAAAAGTGGATGCGCTTGCGTCATTGCAAACGATTTTAAGTCTCTAAACATTGGACATGATAATCTCGTGAACCCCAGCCAGGTGGTCTATACTTAATAACATCCAATTGTCAGTGACTTCTTGGACCGATGCCATGTTTTGGTTAGGCCTCCCCTAGCTTCCCTCCACACCAGACAACAGTCGTTGAGGTAGGCGGTGGTTAGGCATACGTAACACATGTCCCGACTACCTCAGTTGGTGAAGATTTACTACCTCATCAATCGATTTTTCATCCTTACCTTGTACCATATTCCTGACCCACATTACTTACTCCGTGGTTTCGAAATACACGAGCAGTGCTTCGAAGAGACTTATGATCGAATAATGGTAACCTATGAGTATCATCTATTGTTAATGGCCATGTTTCACACTTATAAAGTAGAACAGACCGAACTGCTGTGCAGTAAACTCATCCTTTGGTTGGTAGATGGATATCTTGCATACGCGACAAATGACACAAGTTGGCAAAAGCCAATCAATCATTCCGAGATTTCGTCAGACATCAGGTCTAGTGAGACTCCCAAGGTAAGTGAATCGGTCGGTATGTTCAACAATCCCAATTCCTATAATTAGTTTAGACGCCTATGCAAGTCAATCCTGAGGTAAAATTTTGCATTTAGAGGCAGAGAAACATCCCCAAACACAGCTGGATTGTTGCTTAAGATGATCAAAAGACTGTATTTTTTCAGTGTCTTCAACAAACAGAACTATATCATTTGCGTATTCCAAGTCAGCAAGTGAATCTCCTTGTAGAAGATCAACCTCTGGAAAACCAGATGATAAGTCTTATCTCTACTAGCGTGCCTATGACAAAATGTGGTGTATGTACCAGCTAATGATTCCTTTGTACTTGATTGCTTATTCCAAATATAATACGTTCATTTGTGCTCATCTAGTTCTGTCTGCCTCAAATGGCAGTATCTAGAGAATTCCTAGTTAGCACATTAATTCGAACAGTTCTAATTATTATATTGGTGTTGTGATGGAGCCAAATATTGGACAGTTGGATATTAATTCAAATGGGATGATTATATGGAGTGGTTCGTATTCTGCCGCTTGACTAGAAAAGACATTAAATATAAATTCACAGCTTATCTTCTGACGTTCATCGGCAAAGAAGCCTATAACTTGCTAGAGAATCCGGCTTTTCCAGAGAAACCGATAGGATTGCCATTCAAGGAGTTACTACTTAATCATGTTCAGTGTGCTGGCTTTGAATGTAGAGAGATAGAAGTTTCACAATATATATATATATATATATATATATATATATATATATATATATATATATATATATAACTTCCAGTAATTCACTTCATATTCAGAAACGACTACACCTGTCCAATGGTGCTTTTCACGATTTCATTGTCCACACTGGAGGTTTCAAATCCGTCATTCCAGGTGGAAAGGTGAAGTCATTAAATCCCGATGCTATAATTATCCCTACCAAAGGTTATATTTCGAGTATTATTTGTTATAAAATTCCTATTCTCGAGTGCTGTATTTGCTGATTAGGACGACAAATCTTCAATCCTAAATTGTGAATTCCTCATCACTGATTGTGGACCATCTATTCTGGGTTTAGAAAATCTAAGGATGCCTCGAGGACAGATTTTCTTACTGACCACTGAAGATTATTCTAATGAAATGCTTGATGACTTGTTAACTACAGAATCGAAGTTCGAAAGATTAAGTACGAGTGCAAAGTCCTTCCATCCTTATGCGCAAGCTAAAAATGTCGAGAACTTGAAAACAAACGTCATTTCTATTACTGCTGCAAAATTCAAAGACCCAACGAGAGTAGATAAAGTCTTGCACCGAAGAATCGCCAGACTATACGCAAAAGAAATAATGATGAAATTGCTTAAACAAAAAGAATCTCCGTCCAATTAAGGAACGTTTAGTCCGTCGATGTTGCATACTATACAGAAGCTAATTTCCCACAATCTACGAAAGGTCTACTAAAAAATGTTGATAAATCTGTGGTCTATGTGCAAGCCAGTCACAATAACGCTTCTCCAACCGACCTTTTTGGGATGACAGGATCTAAAGGAACATGCAATCTAGCTAATGTATCTCGATTGAGTTATCAAGATAGGCGAGGCCGACCACTACGTTAAATTAGTAGCTAAGTTCGGGGTGCAGCTAGCAATACTAATCTTAATGCAGCCTTCTAATAAAATTAATATTGCTTGCTATTCCCCGTTTTTCTTATGTTTTCAATTTTTACTTTCGATATGAGGTGTGGGATCTTGCACTGATACACCCTTATACCAGGTCCTACATAGCTGATGACTGAAAAACACAAGTAAAAGAATTGCATCTCATTACATTAACAATGGGTTCATTCGATAATTTACCAATGAATCTCCATAAACGAATATAGCGGCACCAAACTATATATATACACGTGACTAAAACAGGAAGTTTATACTTTAGTCTATCGACGGAACCTTCAGTTGCATTAAAACTGCATTTGTTGATACGCCCACCTAATTACTTTTTAAAACTTCTAGAACTAAAAGTTTGTTACGTCTAGAATATAAGAAGAATCGTTGAAATTAGTGGTTATATTACAGAATATAATTGCTAATACAAAAATATAAAACATGATAAATAAACATCTAATGAATAAATTCAAATGCGAAGTATTACAATACAAGTCATATAATTAGTAAAATATATGATTTGAAATTAAATAAAACAAGAGAATGAGCAAAGGTGTCAGAGATGATTAAGAATTCGAAATAAGCATATTTATTTCAACACTATGACAAAACAAATGTTTAGATAGGAATATTAAAGTAAAGAAAACGACGGTAGTTTCAACTCATCGGTGAGCATACCAGCATTGCACTCAAAGTGTAACAGTTCTGTAAGCTGTTTAATTGTCATACTCATCAATTGAGCTCTATCTTCACTGGGTCCAGCTACTCCTAAACTAGTGGAGCTTGTTCGTCGTATACTAGCGCCAATCATACATTCTGTGTCAAGATTATAAGGACCAACGTCTGTGTTTCGAGAATGTGATGCATGTAATGCTGCTTCGATGCTATCCT